CACCAACACGACGATATCAGATCATCCGTAAAGCAACTACGGTAAGCTCATTTTCACACAGGACGAACTTTATGGCGTGGCACAGCATCGGCCCGAGTCCTGAGTGCGTGGCTGTGGAACAGCATCAAGTTTAGAAACACTTCATGTTCAGTGTTGCCAAAAACCTTTGAACGTTAGCCAATGCTGAAGGTGTTTGGATGGAGCGCAAGTACCTGACTGTGTTCAAAGCAAAACACTTTAGTATGTTAGAGGGTTTTTCCCCAGCAGACGTGACGCTCGACACATTAAGGCTGATTCCAAACTTCATCTGAGATCCGTGTGGTCGGGTCAAACTCATTCAGCTCAGCCAATTCAGGACACGTCATGAATATCAATCAGTCATTTTCCTTCTTGACATAAGGTCTAGAAAAATATGGTGTTTAAGATTAAGAGTCATCTCTCACTAACAAGGTAATATATTCAATCCTAAATGGGTTAACCAGGGTGAAAGACAACGTCAGCACGTAGAGTGATTTAAAAAAGGAGGGACAACAAGACAAACAGCTGCTGATTTAAGAGTCGTGGTAAAGCACGTTGATGTTACGACGTTAACCAGCAGAAACTTAATCACATTTAGATTCGGGACTGTTGAAGATCTCACAGTTTCTAACACAGACATTTGTCACGGTCATTTCAACACTCCTCGGTAACTCATAAATAAGATGAACACATGTGTGTATTTTTTAACACAGGTGACAAAACGTGCCACAGCAAAGCGATTCGGCAAAACTGGTTTTCTCATTCCGACTTTGGCATCGAGGCTTTTCCCAGAGAAACAGACAAAAGGATCAAGAGAATAAAAACAACCTTTTTTCCAGAACAAAGCTGCACATCGAAACAGTCGCAGTGAAATTCAGATATGTGACCTGCTGAGTGAAACTGTGGCTGCAAGTATAACAGCTTCAGATTTAGAGAGCGGGACCACACCGAGGTTTATCCAACCAGCAATTAACTTTAGGAGAACGCTAAAGCACAAAAGGTTCTGCAGGCTTTCTAGTCATTTGATATTATTATGATATCAACCTCGACTTTTTATGGATATATTTGGCCCCTCGCTGGGCTTCTTTGACACCAAAACGCTGAGCCCAAGAAGATTCTGCTGGATGTTACCATCATGGAAAGCCTGTAAAACCCTGTTTTCTCTGGCAATGATCCATCAAATCTGATGTTATCAGCCCATTAAACACCTGTTATCAGTCAGTATCAGCCCATACATGTCAATGATATGCAGTCATCAGTAGCACTTTTAGCCCATTCAGACTTACCAATGAACCTGTGACGCATGTCTTTGGAGTACCAACCCAAAGACATGCGTGATACTACACCATCTAGCAGCTTACTGGGCTGTTATCCGTGAGGGAGAAAGACAGATTGGAGATATAGGAGACCTCCAGTGGTTGCAAAAAGGAGTGCATGGAAAATCTCTATTCATGCTATTAACTAGCTTCGTAGGACAGCTTTAAATACGTGAAAGGGTGCACATGACTATTATTGATTTATTTTAAATTGGTCTGTTTCAGTCACGCCATGCTAGTTTACCCATCTCAGTGCTGTATACACCTTTTCAATCATTTTATCGTCGCTGTCAGGTCCACATTCTCGTTTGAAGAAATTTGTAACTTTGGGTTACAAATGAAATCCCTACAACATCCAAATGTAACGTTTTGTTGCAGTTTTCACCTGGAAACACTTTGACCTTTGCTCCCATTTAACGGTGTGAAAGGAACAAGGAGCGTCATATCTAGGAGGCCACCTACAGGCGACATGTTTGGGAGTGATAAGGTCCAATCAGTGGAATGATGAGATTTAAAAGAAAGTGGAAGACCTCACATGGCCTGTGTTCAACACTCACTAAATCCTGGCTTCTATAAGTAACAGTCTGGGGAGGTCAGCAGATGGACGTAGCTTGGACTGAAAATCCAGACTAGTCCTTACTAGTCCATCGTCAGGCAGCCCAGTTCCTCGCTCTTCTACACAGAAGAAAATCTATACATGTGCAAATCCTGACAGTTTAGCACACGGCTGAAAGCTCTGGCTTTCCCTGTGGGGTATCATTAGGGAAGCTCTGCTTGGGCCCAGTGTGGTGAACTGGGATTGTTGACTCTTGAGTGGACAGCAGTGATACTTACCTTGGCCTTGTGCTGCGTGAGGGAACACAGAGATGAGAAAGAAGCCCAGCAGGCAGAGACTCAGTCTGACTGTGAACCACATCCTGATACCAGCAGACCGAAGGACACGATACACCTGATTGGTAAAGCAGTACAA